ATTGCTGCTGCTCTCGGCTTCTCTTTAATAAACGATTGCTTCTTTCAGCGACGCCCTGTCTGCTGGTGTTTAGAGAAAGAACCCCCGAGGCCTCCGCATTATCCCTTCTGGTTTAAGTCTATATTTCATTCGCACGATATTCCGTCTGTTCGAAGAGGCTATGAAGTCTACAGAAAGGTGTTTTATAATATATAATAATATATTATATTATATATTATGTTATAATGTTTTATATTGTATTATATTATTATGTTATATTATAATATTTTATATTATAATATTTTATATTATAATATTTTATATTATAATATTTTATATAGCCTGTCATTCAATGGAGCAGCCTAACAATTTAGATTAATATATTTATAATTGCATTAATAGATTTATAATTGCATTAATGTATTTATAATTAGATTAATATATTTAGATTAATATATTTATATGTTTATATGTTTACAGGTTTGCGCTGCCTGTCATTCAATGGAGCAGCTTCACTTTCGGCATTTGGTCGGTGAAGTGCTGCCTGAGTTGCGAATGAAGCAAATAGCAGCAGAAATTGATGTTGAAGACGGTCCGAATGAAACAGGAGAAATGTATACGCGGCCGGGTGTACTCGCAGATGCACTTCCTAAGCCCTATCCAAATGAAGAAAGTAATATTCACGCTCATCCTGATCCTGCTGTTGCTCCTGCTCATGCTGCTGTTGTTGCTGCTGATGCTGTTGTTGCTGTTGCTGCTGCTGTTGCTGCTGATGCTGTTGCTGATGCTGTTGCTGCTGATGCTGTTGTTGCTGCTGTTCCTGATGCTGTTGCTGCTGATGCTGTTGCTGATGCTGTTGCTGCTAATGCTGCTGTTGCTGATGCTGCTGCTGATGCTGTTGTTGTTGCTGGTGGTAGTGGTGCTGCTTTTGTTGCTGCTATTGATGATGCTTCTGTAGCTATTACAGCTGCTGCTATTATTGTGTTTGTTGCTGCAATTATTGCTGTTATTATATATATATATATATATATATATAACGCTTCATAATGTTATTGAGATTGCTGCTGTTGCTGCTGATATAAACGGTGCTAGTAGTATAATTACAGGAGTATTTTCTGATGGTTTATATGTAATTATTGCTTGACAAAATAAAAGTATAATAATAAGTAAAGTTAAGATATATAATGAATAGTATGATGATGATATATATGTGTTGCAGCTGCAAGGTTTGCGAATAACGGTGCTTATCCTCCCGATCTATCTTTAATAACAGGCGCAAGGGTTCACGGACCCGATTATATTATGGCGCTACTAAACGGATATCATCAGCCGCCTTTAGGTGTAGAGTTGAGGCCGGGTCTGTATTATAATGTGTGGTTTCCGGGCAATGCAATTGCGATGGCTCCTCCTCTTCAAGATGAGCTTATTGAATATGAAGATAAAACACCTTGTAATGTCTCTCAGATGGTTAGCAGCTCTATTCTTTATCTATATTCACTCTTTTTATTTTCTCTTTATTTAGTCACCTTTATGCAGCTTCTTTTCTGTCTTCTTTGATGTAGCTTTGTGCTTATATGTTTCAGTCTATAATAAGTGTAATATCTCTTAATCTTTTTATTTACTCTATTTTATCTTTATTTATATACTTTTATTTCGATACTTCTTTTTTTTACATTCATTTATATATATATATATTATGTATGTTATGTATATTATATATATTATATATGCATATACATTGTTTGTTATGTGTATGCAGGTCTATAGACGTGTGTTTATGTTGTTTATGTTGATGTATTATTTTGTTTGCTTTTCTCTGTAATCTCTCTCTCTCTGTATATATATATATATACATGTATATGCATACATATATATGTATATATATATAAACAAATCCTTATAAAAGTTCTTCATCTATTATTTTTTTCGTCTTAGAATGTGGACATAGTGAATGTCTTCTGTAGTTTCTAGGTGCATTCTTTTGTCTTTCTGTATATTATAGTACATATATATAATATATATATGTATATATGTATTATATATATTATACATATATATATATGTTTATATATATATTATACATATATATATATATGTTTATATATATATATATATCTAGATGTATTATTTTGTGTGTGTTTTCTTTCTACATTTAGACTAAAGCCACAACGAATATCACTGAAATGTTAAATAAATAAACAAATAAAATAAATATCAATAAGTAAATAAATAAATATAAATAACTAACTATAAATAAATATATATATATATATATATATGTGTTTGTGTATGTGTTCAGTCAAAGGACGTGGTGAATTTCTTAACCTGGGCGACAGAGCCGAGTTGCGATGAACGAAAATTATTCGGTTTAAAAGCAGTGAGTGCTGCGATGGTTGGCTGCGCGTTGATGACAGTGTGGTGGCGCTTCTTTTGGGTTATATATGCAACGCGGCGAATAGACTTCGGGGCTCTTAAATACTTGTAATGACGCTGAAACTCGCACCAAGGCTGCATCCTTATCATCATCTTATGACTAATACTACTACTACTACTGCTGCTGCTGCTTTAGCTGATGCTGCAAGAAGCAGCAGCTAAAGCAGCAGCAAGAACGGATAAAGAAGCAGCAGTCTACACAGATTTATAGGCAGATATATATATATATATATATGTGCAGAAGCAGCAAAAAACTCAGCGACGCCGCTCCTCTTCGGGAAGCAGCAGCAGCAGCTGCTGCTGCTGCTGCAAAGGCGTCAGCTGCTGCTGTTGTTATAGATCCGGATGCTGCTGCTGTTGCTCTTGCTGCTGCTGCTCTTGCTGCTGCGAATATGCGCACACTTCACCTGGTCGCCCCTCAGGCCAGGGCTTGTAGCAGCAGCACTGATACACAGCAACAGCAGCAGCTGCTGCAGCAGCACGAAGAGCAGCAGCAGCGGCAGCAACCGCACCAACAACGGTTAATGGACCGAAGGGTAGGGCGTATTTTTCTTTAAATGTTTGTTGGGGGGACATTAAAATATTTTTGATGTTTACAGCGCATGCAGGCGTACATGCTTGTGTATATATATATATATATATATATATTTTTATATGTATATATATGTAGTTAGTTAATTAGTTAGTTATTAGAAAGGTATATTATATATTTACGTGTTGTTTCTTACTATTAATAATAGAAAGTAATAGATGTGATCTGTAGAGTAGATATTTTTATTAATAATAATAAATATATATATATGTATATATATTGTACGCAATACGTACAAATATATATATATATATATATATATATATATATTATATAATGTATTTGAATATATTTTATTTGAATTTAATAGAAAGTTTTTTATTGCTGTCTGTCTTTTGCAGTAGCGGTGAGTTGTCTGTACACCGCAGCGCTTTGGCCTGGCTTGTTTCTGTGTTTGTTTATATCAATATTAAATATATTTTATTGATAGTTTATTGTTGTTGTTGTTCTTTATTATTTAATGTATTTATTTTCAACTTGTTTATTTGTTTATTCTTTTACGAACGCAATACACTTAAACAAGCAAACAAAGAAAAATAAATGATAATACAATAGTAATTGATATTAATAAGAAAAGTGCTACTATAATATTATTGTTATTATAATTATATTTATTATTTTATAATTTATTGATGTATATTATAGTAACAAATGGGTTACCGTGTATTACAAGAATAATAATATACGTATGTATAGTAATAGTAATAAATGTATAATAATAATAATAATAACAATAATAATAATATACGTATAGCAAGAATAATAATGCATGTAATAATGTGTAATAATATCGCTATTAATAATAGAGGGAGTGTATAACGGTGCGAATTATAATAATACTACCGAACGTGTAATATTAATATTCATAGTAAATTCTTATCAAGAAGAATGATATAAAGATATAATAGTAATAATTATATTTATAATGATAATGGATAATAAGAATAACAAAAATACTAATAATATTAATAGTAATAATAGTCATAGTAGTAATAATAATAATTTTAATGAAAGGAAGAGGGGTAAAATACTACAAAGAAGGTAACGATATTAGAAACGATATTAATAACCTGAAACCTTCAGTAATACTAATCATAGAAAATGCATATCAGGGAGCATAAAAATATAGTAATAATAATAAAAGTATAATAATAATAGTAATAGTAATATTAATAAATGTATAGAAATAAGAGTAATAAATATAATAATAATAATAATATTATCATTATTATTATTATATTAATGAATGTATAATAATAATAAGATAGCGTAATGATATTAACAGCGAATGGCAGCCCTCAGCGGCGAGCAGTAGTGGGCCGGTTATTAGGCGCAAATGTTTGAAATTTGTTGTAATATTATAATAAAATATATAAAATAAAATATTTTTTTGTATTTCATTTAAAATATGCAGAAACTGGAGTTCCGTTTTATTTAATTAGGCGGGGGTTCCTTGCAAAAATCGCCCTTCCCGACAGACCCAGAAACGCAGTGAGTATTCTTCTTTTTGAGTTATTTTTTTAAATTAACTAAATAAAAACATTTTAATAAATAAATAAATTTATTCCGTCGTTATTTACCTTTAAACGAGCACTGAAAACAAACAACAACTGACTGGGATACCCCTGGTGTACAACCAGCTCTACGGTGCGGTGGTGGTGCTGGTCGCCTCTGCGTGTTTGGTGTGTAAATGATCCCTTCTTACCTTTTTTGAGTTTATTTGCCTAAAATTAATCAATTAAATACTAAAGTATTTGCTTTTAATGGTTATTTTTGTGCTTTTCTTCGCCTTCTGCAGGCCCCAATGCCGCCAGCAGACAGACCACCGGTTACAGCGTCTTCCCCCCTAATATATTTGAGTATTTGAGGTGAATATTCGCAGAATTCCATTTAAAAGAATTGCTTAATTCAATTAATACAATTAATTGAATTAAATTGCGCCTTTTTTCCTTCTTTTTTTTACTTTTTCTTTAGAGGCTGTTTCTGCAAGCGATCAATGAGCCTTCATCTCCCTCCCGCCTCCTTCTCTTCATCTTCTTCATCTTCTTCATCTTCGTCATCTTCTTCATCTTCTTCTTCTTCATCTTCTTCATCTTCTTCTTTTTCTTCGCCGTCCTCTCCTTCTTCTCCTTTTTCTCTTTCCTCTGCTCCTTCTCCCCCCTCTTCGTTGGCTGCCCTTATCCCGCTCACTTCTTATTCTTCTGCAGCTTCTTCTTACTTTCAATTCAGCCACCAGCCCATATTGCCTCCAAGTGCGCATCCTGCTGCTGCTGCTGTTTGTGCTGGTGCTGCTGCTCCCGTTTCTGCTGCTGCTGCTGCTGCTCCCCCTTCTGCTGCAGCTGCTGCTGCAGCACCGGAGCTGCAGCAGGATGCGCCTATCATCAGGCCGTTGGGTGCTGCACAGCGGCACCGGAGGAGGCTGTCTTCGTCTCCACGTCAAAGCGTCTGCAGCAGCGGCGCGCACTGCATCCCAATGGTTGCTGCTCCTCCTCCTCCTGTTGCTGCTGCCCCCCAAAGCGCGAGCAGATCCATGAAGCAGCTGCCTCAGCAGCAGCAGCAGCAGCAGCAACAGAAAGCTCGGTGCAGACAATCTTCTCCCCACAACTCCCCCTGCTCTGCTGTCTGCCCTTCTCAGCGGCTTGGGATCGCCAACTCCAGCTGCTTCGGCCAGCAGCAGCAGAACAGAAGAAGAAGAAAGCTGTCTCTTGAATTATCTTCAAACGATTCTGTGTCTTCTGTTGCTTCTTCTGCCTCTGCAACAGCGACACGAGATGCACGCAGCTGTTGCAGGCGCTGCAGCTGCTGCTGCTGCACATGCAACACCTGCAGCAGCAGCAGCAGCAACAGCGCTGAGAAGTTGCCTGAGGCCTCAATGAATACGTGGGGAGAATTTCTGCTGCCTCGTTTTGTCTTTTCCAGTGTAGAGGAGCTGCGGGAGCATGAGCAGCAGCAGCAGCAGCAGCAGAAGCAGCAGCAGAAGCAGAAGAAGCAGCAGCAGCAGGAGCGGGGAGCATTATGTGGTTTACGTTTATGCATGCAGAGTTGTTTGATATCAATGAAGCAGTATTTTCGCTCTGTGTACAGCTGGGGTTGGTGCTGCAGTCCTGTAGGCTGCAACCGAAGTTGGCTATGGAGTTTGTTTTTGCATATATTTGCTGCTTTCTTCCTTCCTTTTGCTGCTGTTCCTACTGCTTTAAGCTGTTCATTTATATCTGGACTGCCTGTGTCGTGCGTGCTGCACAGCTGCTGGGTCTTATGCTTCATTACAGGTTTATTTGGGGGGGCCCCAGGTAGCCTGAGTCTCCCCACAGAGGCCCTCGCTACGGTATTAGTGTCTGCAGCAAGTGGGTGGAGTGTGGGGAGTGGTTGTTCGGGGGATGATGACTGGAAAGCTGCGGTGCGGGAGTTGATCGTTCCCGCTGGGATCGTCTCTGGGATCGTTCAGAGCTGCTGCGCACTCCTAGGTGTGGGGAGACTAGCAGCACTCGTTCCTGCTGCATCACGGGTTGGCTATGTTGCTGCTGTTGCAGTCATCAATCTGCGATCCCAGATCCAGGCGTTCTATCGCGAACTGGGATCGGGATCGGGATCGGGATCGGGATCGGGGTGGGTGTGGGGTGGGAGTTTGCTACTTGGTGCTCAAGTGGCTCTCGTGATGCATTTCTGGCCTTTATTAGTGCCTTCTTCTGTAGCAAAGCGGCTGCCCGCTTCTGCTGTTGCCTTAGCTATAAGTGTATTTGTAGAGTTTGTTTGTCTCCGGCTGCTGTTGGGTGTACAGACAGCTACCTTAGGAGACGTAAGCTCGCTGTCTCTAGGGGGAGGTCTGGGGCCTCTTTGTCTGATATCTTCTCCTTTATTACGCAGCCCGTCCCCACAGTTGCTGTCTCTTAAAGGACTATATACTGTTTCTGATGCTGCCTTTACTCTCGCGCTTGTCTCTTCTATATCTACTCTAATAACAGTAGAGCGTCTGCAGCAGCAGAGCCGCTGGGAGTTTAGAAGAGACACACAACTTGCTGCTCTAGGAGCAGCAAATATTGTCTCTTCTTTATTAGGGGGTTTACCAGGTGCTACAGGTCTAATGACATCTCTATTAGCACGACGTATGGGCTCTGAAGGAAGAGAAGGCCCTCTACTTGCTGCTGCTTTTCTCTGTCTCTTTACCTGCGTCGCCCACTCTATACTTGAGCCTATACCTTTAGGAGCTCTTAGAGGTGCTGTATTATACACCTCAGTACGGGCTATTGATTGGGGGGCCTTGCTGGGTGTATGTGCTTCTTTATGTCCTTTCTCTATTACAAGAAGACTTCGATGCATGCAGCAAAAAACAACAAAGACAGAAGCTGCAGTTATTCTTGTTACTGCTATTTTAGGGCCTCTTTATGATTTAGGAAGTGCTTTGCTGTTGGGTATATTTGTTTATTTTGTCTCTTTAACTTGGCGGGTTAGCCAAGCTTCTCCTTTTGCTGCATATTTAGATAAAACAACAAATACGAAGTTCTATTATCTTCATTCTCTTATTCCTTACTCTCTCAATGACAAGCACCTCCCGCATGCACTTACTGACTCCAGCAACGCTCCCCAGCGCTCCGTCGTCTTGCTGCAGGTAGCAGCAGCAGCAGCACCAACAGCAACAACACCTACGCCTCCAGCAGCAGAATCAGCAGCAGCACCTGCAGCAACAGCAACAGCAACTGCAACAACAACAGCAGCAGCAGCAGCAGCACCGCAGAACAACAATTTACAACGGGGCTTAGAGGACCTCTTCGAATCTTATAAAAAGAAAGGAAAAGAAATTGTTGTTTATGGTGTTGAGATAAACAGAGCTCAGGTGGCGCTGCATGCAGGTCGTACACTAGAAGCAAATAGAGAGAGGCTGCAGCAGCAAATGAAGCAGAACAAGCTTTCTTGTATCTGTACCTCCCCGTCTTCTGTCTCTTTTATTTAGAGACAAACTCATTCGCTTCTTTTGTGTGGCTTCACGCTCTCCGTTTTGCTGTTTAAGTTTATTATCTTTCAGTCTCTTTGTCTCTCTGTGTCTTTTATTATTGTTGTAGATGTATTTGCTACTGCTACTTCATTATCATTCTTCTGTCTCCTCCTACTGTCTCCGTCTCTTCTTAAGCTGCTGTCTCTCTCTTGTTTCTTCTTCGTCTCTCTTACTGTGTTTGTTTCTTTTGCCTGTCTCTCTCTCTCTCTCTCTATCTCTCTATCTATCTATCTATCTATCTATCTCTCTCTGTCTCTCTGTCTCTCTGTCTCCTTCTTCTTCTTTCGCTCTTTGTCTCTGTCTCTTTCTGCTCCCATATATCCTTTTTTGTTTTTATCTGTCTCTTCGTTTTTGAGTCTTTGTGTGTTGGTTCCTCGTTGTCTTTTTTTGCATTTCTTCTGCTCTCATCATGAATAAATAAATATATACATATATATATAATGTAGTTGTGTATATTAAAAGTATATATATATATATGTTGTGTATCCAATTTCTCTATAAAAACAACTTCTTACTAAAATTACGCCTTCTTTGTATTTCTATTTAAAACACAATCCTCTTTAAAAATCTTTTTCGTATTTTTACATGTAACAACAGCTTCATACAGTAAAACCTTTTCTTGCTGTTTATACTGAACGCAACATATATATATATATAGGCTTAAACATATATATATATATATATATATATATATATAGCATATTATAAAACAATATCCACTTAGAGAAATTCTTCTTGTCATTTCTGGCTATATTAAATAAAAAATAAATGAAGATATGTATATATATACATATATATAGATTTTATCTACGTATATATATATATATATATATTTGTATACATATGTATATATACGCATATAACGCCTTCTCCCCAAACGTAGTAGAAAGAACAAAGCCCTGATTAACAGTTTTTTGTCTTCTGTACAATTAAAAAGAAGTATAATCGGTGAAAGAAATTCGTTGCCTATTTCTATTTATTAAATAAAATCTGTCTCATTATTTAAAGCGATATTCTATTCAACAAAAGCTTCTTCCCAGATGTATATACAACAATACCGTCTTCAGCCTGATTACAATTGATTAATTAGCTAAATTAATTGCTTCAATTAATTAATTAATAATCTTAATTAATTTAATTAACTGTTTATCCAAATTAATTAACTTATTAACTGCAGCAGCTTCAAGTTCAGCCGAATGCCGGAAGTTCCCCGTGCCTCGGCTTCGCTTCTCTGCGGTGTATGTGCAGCTTCACAGTTGCATGTACACCTGAAAGAACTCGTTTTAGTTACGCAAAACCCTTGGGCTACAGACGGTTCACGGAAGGAACGGTCCAGTGGCCAGCTAGCTAGTTAGCTAGATAGCTGGCTAGTGCTGCGTACATTGCTATTTAGCTAGCTGCTGCATAGTTAGCCAGCTAGCTGTGTGGCTAGCCATAGGTTAAGGGCCCAAAAATGGTGAGTATGAGCACCCAGCCTTAGCTAGCTAGTTAGCTGTACCACCACAAAGGCCGGGGGCCTTCCACAGCTAGCTACCTGGCTAGGTAGCTAGCTAGCTGGCTAACCATGTGGCTAGCTAGCTGGCTAGCCATGTGGCTAGCTAGCTGGTGAGTCCACCAGTTAGATGCTCATGCAGCACGCTGTACCGCCCCACACTAGGAGCCACTAGGTAAAAGTTGCTGCAGCTCTTGCTGCTGCTCTGCCGCTGCTGCTGCACTGCAATTCCTAAATTCCCTCCTGCACCAGCCAGCAGGCTGCCGCTGCTGTTGCTGCTGCTGCTGCTGCTGTTGCTGCTGCTGCTGCTGCTGTTGTTGCTGCTGCTGCCGTTGCTGCTGCTGTGTAGCTGCTTCTCAACCTAGGCGAGATCAAAGAGACGCTGCAGCAGCTCAGCAGCGCCGGGAGTTAAACGGATAGAAGCGGTTAGGTGTACGTACACCTGGGGAAGACCTGGTGCGAATGCATGCAGGCGACGAGCCGACATCGAGGTGCCAACCCACAAGTCGTAGCATGCAGCCGCTACATTGCGTTCCCCCCTCCCTGTTGGCTAGCTGACTAATAGCTGGCTAGCAGCTAGCTAGCAGCTAGCTATTATTAGCTAGCTAGTAGCTTGCTTGTACTGTTGCTGTTGCTAGTAACAAGTTCGTAGCTAGCTGGGTGTGAGGCGAATTGTGCGGTTGGCTAGCTGTCCTGTACAAGCTAGCTAGGTGGGTAGCTAGCTGGCTAGCTAGACAGTTAGCTAGCTAGGTAGCTAGCTATCTAGGTTTTTGAGGGCCTGTTAGCGGCCGCTGCTTTTCGCTTTGCCTCTGTAAATTCTTCTATAGCTTTCTTTAACTCCGGCTGCGGTATAAGTTCTTCGCGGGTAAGGGGTGCCCTGTGTATACAAACAGCAAAACAGAGACGTAGAATTAGACATAAACAAACGAAATAAAGAATTAAACATAAACAAATAAACAAACAATAAAACGGAGACAATAACAGAAGTAAACATATATTAGAATAAAACACAAGAAAACAACAAAAGATAATTAAAATATATAAAACATCAGAGCAGAATAAACAGAAAATAACGAAAAAAAGTTTAAAACAAAAAAACAGCATAAGGCAGCGAAGGGCCTCAAGGCGCAGCGGGCACCAGCAGCAGCGCGCAGCAGCAATATGCAGCAACAACAGCCTGCAGAAATCGTCTGCAGCAGCAGCTATAATAGCAGCACCCTGCAGCAGCAGTCCCCCCCCCTCCTCCCGCAGTATCGGCAGCCTACAGCAGCAGCAGGCAACAGCAACAGCAGCAGGCACAGCAGCAGCAGCAACAGCAGCACCAGCAGCAGCAGCAGCAGCATTAGTAATGGTACCTGTTGAAGGGGTCTGAAGGCTCCGACATGAGGTGGCGTTCGATGTTTCTTCTGTCGACGATGACGCGGCTCGAAGGCAGCATCACCGGGTCACACATCAAATCCGCCATTATGGGATCTAAAAACTCAGGCTGCATGCAGCAATAGCAGCAGCAGCAACAGCAGCAGCAGCAGCAGCAGCAAGTAAGGCAAACCCAGAAAACAAATGAAACAACAGCAAAGCCAGTAAATCGAGCAGCAGCGGCAAAGGCAACAGCAGCAACAGCAGCAAAGGCAGCACCAAAGCCACCACCAGCAGCGGCAGCAGCAGCAGCAGCAGCAGCGGCAGCAGCCGCAGCAGCGGCAGCAGCAGCAGCAACAGGTACCGGGACGTCGTCAAGATCGATTTCTTTTTCTGCCTGTTCCATCTCCGCCAGTCGTTTGACCAGTGAATGAAATTCTTCAAGAAGCGCCGAAGGCATCAAACCCTCGCGACGTGCTATGCGGCACTGCAGCAAAGCAGCAGCAGTAGCAGCGGCAGCAGGACTATTGCTTGGTCCCGGCCGAAATGGTGCAGCAAGGGCAGTCATGTACACTTCCATTTGCTGCTCTTATGTTTGCAGCTAATCGTGCCACTGCTGCCACTGCTGCTGCTGCTATCGCTGCTGCTGCTGCTGCTGGTATCGCTTCAACTGCTGCTGCTGCTGCTGCTGCTGCAACTGTCAGGCGTACTGCTTTGGCTATGTTCGCGTGCTTGTAGTATCTCCCATCCCTCAATATTTCCGTGATAATGACCTCCCCATTTGTCTTGTCGGCTTGCACTGAAGCAGCAGCAGCAGCAGCAGCACAGCAGCAGCAGCAGCAGCACAGCAGCAACGACAAGCAAAACATGATAAATACGTGCAGAAGAAGGGAGGCGCAGCTGGAGCAGCATTTAAATGAAGTGCGACCCAAACCCTAAACCCTGTGCTGCAAACCCTAAACCGCGACAACTACATATCCTCAACCCCAAACCCTAAACCCTAAACCCTAGTCCCTAAACCCTAATCCCCTAGAAGAGAGCTGCCAAGCAACAAACACCACCTAAATTCTTTATCTGATTTCTCAACCCCAGACCCTCACCAACAAACCCGAAACCCTAAACCCTAAACCCTAAACCCTTCAAGTGAGGCGTGGTGTGCGCACAGAGGTAAACGAAGGCCTCCAGGACAGTAGAGAGCCAATCTTTGGGTCTGAAGCTGTACGTCTCCATCGAATTCACCTGCAAGCATCACTCTAGATAGAGAGGCTAGGGTTTAGGGTTTAGGGTTTAGGGTTTAAGGTCGGGGTCCTGCACTCTGCCTACGTGCCGCTGCGTTTGCCTTTAGTTTATAACGCATGCGTGTGTTTGTCGCTGTCTCTGCTGCTCTCTCTGTCTCTCTCTTTTTCTCTCTTCATATGTCTCTGTCTCTTTGTATTTATGTCTGTCTCCCTGTCTCTGTGTGTCTCTCTCTCTGTCTCTGCAGCATTTGCCTCTCTGTCTCTTTTTCTATATCTCTTTCTCAATCTCTCTGTCTCTGGCTATGTCTTTGTCTCTCCGTCTCTGTCTTTTTTATATCTCTGTCTCTGTTTCTGTCTTTCAGTTTCTGTCCCTCTCTCCTTCGCTGTCTGATAGCTACCTAGTTCGTTGGCTAGCTAGCTAGCTAGCTAGGTAGCTAGCTAGCTAGCTAGCTAGCCAGCACTCAGTTTGAATGCGAGGAGGATACCTTAAGCTGGAGACAGCGAGGCCCTACTAGATGGTCGAGGCAGCAATCAAGCGTTGTGACAGCCTGAGGTAAGACGCTGCTGCTGCTGCTAATGACAGCCCCACAGTGTCTAGACAGCTGTCTAAAGAGGCTGCATGCACTTTGGCCCAGTGAACATAAATCTCTCGCTGTCCCCTGCAATCTCCCCCAGGGCTCCCGTTCTAAAGGCGATCTCCCTTCTAAAGACCCAGCGACTGCATGATATACAATAAACAAGCAATAAACAGATAATAATATTCATTTATTTATAAGGAACAATATTATACGCATAACAATATATCTAACGCGCACAAAAAATATACAAAACAAACAAAAACATCTGAAAATAAACACAAACACCCGCTATAACGGTAAAGAAGAAGCAACTGGAAGACAGAGCGATAGCATAAAAATAAAGAAAAAGAAGAGAATAATAAAAAGCAAAAAACACAATAAAAGTAATATGCACATAAAATTAAGAAAAACAAACAAAGTCAACTTAAAAACAAACACAAATAATCAAATTTACAAGGGAAGAGACAAACGAAAAGAGACACAATATATGCAGCATTAACTGCTGTACATACACCGCACCTTCGTCTCCATCTGAATCCTCCTCCTCCATCGAAGACGGGGCCCCCTGGGGGCCCCTCGCATTAGCGCTACCACTGGAGGCCCCAGTACCAGCAGCAGCACCAGCAGCAGCACCAGCAGCACCGCGAGGAGCAGCTTGACCAGGAAGAGGGGCCTGATCATTGTCTCGGCCTGTGCAAAGCAACAGAAAGCTGCGGGGGGTTCTGCGGTGTACGTACACCTCGCTATGTGCATGCATGCATGCATGCATGCATGCAGAGAAAGACAAACAAAGTTAAAGGGACCGTGAGGGACCGAGGAGACAAGACAGCGAATAAGAAGAAGAGATAATAAGGAGACATTAAAGACAGAGTAAAGAGACAGCAGAGAGACAGCAAGGAGAAACAAAAGAGGCATAGGCGAGGCATGAGTCAGAGACCATAAAGAGACAGCTAAGAGCCGAAAGACAGAGAAGGTGAAGGCACAGTAAAGAGACAGCAAAGAGACAGAAAGGAGACAGAAGAAGACAAAATAGAGACAGAAGAGAGACAAAAAATACACCTTCAAGCTGTCTCTTCCTTATCTCCACAAGGGCCTCCATTGCCTGGTCAACGAGCGCTGCGACGTCGTTTAGCAGCAAATGCACCAAATGCAAAAACTTCTGCATCCAAACATGCATACACCCCACACACATACACCCCAAACATGCATACACCCCATACACATGCACCCCACATGCATGTACCCTCTAGAGGAGACAGCACCAGGAGATAACAGACAGCAACAGACAGCAACAGGAGAGAACAGAGGAGACAGCAACAACGACAGCAGAAGAGGAGACAGCAGCAGCACCTCTGGATGTGTCTCCGCCAGGGTCTTCATATTGGCTCTGTAGTCGGGGTTAGCGAGGAGACGACTCAGCATATCTACAATTGGTATACGAAAGTTAATGCGGTCGTAGTAGGAGCCTAAGGAGACACAAACAAACAAACAAGCAAACAAACACAAACAAACAATACACCTCTTGCTGCTGTTGCTGCTGCTGCTGATCCTGATTCTGCTGCTGTTGCTGCTGCTGATCCTGATCCTGCTTTTGCAGCTGCTGTTGCTGTATTTCTGCTGAAGGCATACAGCCTCTGCTGCTGCTGCTGCTGCTGCTGCTGCTGTATGTAGACAGTTTTTGCTGCTGCACCACCGCAGCCACTAATGCATGCATGAATGCGGAGACAACTAAATACATAAAAAGACAATTCCTATTTTCTTTACCTCTCTCTGAGTCTATAAACACTTCCACCAAAGCTGGCAGCAAAAAGCGACGGGAGACAGACAAAGACTCCAAACGAGAGCGGAAGGAATCCAATAGAAATAAACGATGCAGCGTGCGGCATGCCCTGAGGTGTACATACACCTAAACTACTAGAAGCAGCAAATGCAGCAGCTGCTGCAGCAACAAAAACAGCCGCAAATCCACCTACCAAAACGACCAGAAGCAGCAGCAGCAGCAGCAGCAGCAGCAGTGCCGAAAGCAACACAAGCAGCAGCAGAAGCAGATTCCACTGGGGTCACTTCGCTCTTGCAGCAACTCTAAACCCTAAACCCTAAACCCTCGATCTGGGAGACAGCTGACCCGTCACAGCGTGTATGTACACTCCGGAAGTAAGTGGGTGAGCCCATAACCGCTATGCATGCAGCAGCAATTAGTTCTGCATCCATGCTGCTGCAAGGAGACAATTCGCCGCTCTGTGCGCCGCGCAGGCTGAGATACACCGCCTGCAGCTCCGCCATATGACGCAGAGACAAAAATATCTCTTCTACAATCCCGCTAGGCAGCACTGAAGACAGACAACAGCAGCAGCAACACCAGCAGCAGCAGCAGCAACAGCAGCAACAGCCGCAGGAAGCAGAGACGCACAAGGAGAGCGCGAGCGCACACACACACACACACACACACAAACAAACAAATCAGCCGCATGCTGGGCAGGTGCAGCAAGTGTCTCCTTGGCTGTTGTTTGCCTTTACGGTGTCTCTGCTGGTCTCAATGCGTATTTCTCTGTATCCGCATCTGTCGCAATCTGTTTATCTTGCTGCTGCTCCCTGTCTCCTTTTGGCAGGTGCAAACGCTGTTGCTGCCTTCGCCTCTCTGTCTCTGTTTCTGTCTCCGTCTGTCTCTGTCTCTGTCTCTGTCTGTCTCTGTCTCTATCTCTGCATCTCTGTCTCCATGCCGCTGTTATATCGAAACTCTACTTCCCCCCCCCTCAAAGGTTAAACTGCAGCAACAGCAGCAGCTACTCTTGTGTCTCCTCTCTCCTGCTGCCTCTTTCTGTTTCTATCTGTCTCCTTTTGTCTTCTTCTGTCTCCTTCTGTCTCCTTACATGCAAACTGAGGAGGCGGTGTTGCGGGCTTTTCCGCTCCGCCCGGTGGAAGCTGCGCATACACCACAAAACGCATGCAAGCCGCATGCAAATGCAGCAGCAACAGCAGCAATTGCAGCATCAGCTTCCTATCTCTGTCTGCTCTGTCTATTATATATGCATTTATATATATATATAATGTATATATATATATATATATTTCTGTCTCTGTCTCCGTTGTAAGCTGTCTCCTACCTGAGTCAACAGAGCAGCATACCGCCACTTCTGGTTAGACAGAAAGGAGACAGCTTTGGGGTCTTCTTTACCGTCAGAGGTGTAGATGTACATACACCCCAGCAGCCACGAGCAGAAGAGATGAGCGAAGTGCCAGTATAAGCTGCACAGCCGAGGGTGCAGCAGGATCTGCAGCAGCAGCAGCAGCAGCAACAGCAGCAGCAGCAGCAGCAGCAGCATGCCCATATATGAAGAAGAGAAGCCGAGAAGGAGACACTTCAGTAGCGGGGCCCCATAGTTTTTCTAGTCGTCTCTCCCATCCAAAAGATACATAAAGAGCAGACATATCGTTGCTGCTTCTGCTGCTGCTTCTGCTGCTGCTCCTGCTACTGCTGCTGCTGGTGCTATTGTTGCACAGACTTATAGACCAATGATATAAGTCTGCTGTCTTGTGTAAATATACAGAGGGTGGCGGAGACATCGAAGCAGCACAGAGACAGGCAGCAGCAGCAGCAGCAGAAAACCCTTACCACGCGCCACCCCAACACCTCCGCAACAATTTGCTTCGACTCTGCCGAATTTTGCTGCATTCCCTCTTCGTGTCGTCTTTGGAAGTACTCCATCCACCGCATGCATTCACTTGCACAGGGACTGCAACCAAACAGAACGCACAAATACTACACCCTGCTGCTGCTGCTGCTGCTGCTGCTGCACGAAAACTGCTTCTGCTGCTGCTGTTGTTGTTGCTGCTGCTGCTGTAAGTGAAAATGCAAATGCCGCTGCTGCTGCTGCAACTGCTACTGCTTCTGCTCCTGCTGTTGTTGCTGCTGCATTATGTCCGAAGCACAGCAGCACGCGTGCACAGTTTCGGGCCTATCGCCGTGCAGTGTAACGTCAGGGCCAAGAGTACAGCGGAGCAGCAGCAGCAGGTGTAGTAGCAGCAGCAATAATAGTAGGTGTAGCAGCAGCAGGGACAGCAGCAGCTGGAACAGCAGCAGCAGGAACAGCAGCAGCAGGAACAGCAGCAGCAGGAACAGCAGCAGCAGCAGCAGCAGAATGTCGTCGGACTTGAAGCAGAGTCGAACGGCTCGGATCGTTAGCCAGAATATCTCCGAGGTGAACTTGGCATTTGCATCATCAGCAGCAATTGTCTTGTAGAATTGTTTTGCTGCTGCTGCTGCTTCTCCCTCCCCCAGAAGCGCCTCCCGGCGCAGCGGCCCGGCAACCGCCTGCCGCACCGTATCGCTGGCAGAGCCGCATGTGGCGTAGAAGGGAGACACTTCGCAGCTGCAGCAGCAGCAGCAGCAGCAGCAGAAGCAGCAGACAGACACGCCATACACAAGAATCCGAAAACGCAATGCCCATATCAAAAAAACACCGCAGCAGCAACCCCATTGCCAACAGGGCTAGCAGCAACAACTGCAACAGCAGCAGCAGCAGCAGCAGCAACAGCAACGGAATATTCAGCAGCAGCAGACTGCTGCATATTCTTGTATAGTCACTAATTCAAGGCATAGTTGCACACGTACATCTTCTCGTATTTAATCGGCTCGACGAGAAGCAAAAGGGCGTGAAAGACATTTATGCAAAAGCCAAAAGAGTTCTGACCCTGCGCTTCTGCAGCAGCAGCAGCAGCAGACGCAGCAGCAGCAGCAGCGGCGGCGGCTAGAACACGAAGCAGAGATATGCGATAACCTCCGCACCTTGGGTGAGTGCATACATATACAAGGAGCAGCAACACAAGCAACCAAACATGCATCATCAACATCAACAGCAGCAGCAGCAACAGCTGCAACAATAGCAGCAGGCGTACTGATAAGGAAGGAATGAAGGGGGTCAGCAGACTCAGGCGTCTGCTGCTGCAGCATCATGTGCACGTGAGCCGCCTTTGCTCTCGCTTCGTTAGAAGACAAAACAGCAGCAAACCACTGTACCACGCGGTGTCTCTCCACCTTCCCTGCCCGGCAAATGTTCTTGAGGATCTGCAGCAACACAGCCACAGCAGCAGAAGCAGCAGCACTAGCAGCAACAGCAGCAGCACTAGCAGAACCAGCAGCACTAGCAGCAGCAGCAGTACTAGCAGCAGCAGCACTAGCAAAAGCAGCAGCAGCACTAGCAGCAGCAGCACTTGCAGCAGCACTAGCAAAAGCAGCAGCAGCACAAGCAGCAGCAGCAGCAGCAGCAGCAGCAACAGTAGCAGCAGCAGGATGGCTTGCCTGGTTGTCGATGTCCATAATATTCTGTATATCGTGCCGCATCCCCTGGATGGTGCTTTGTAAGTATGTCGGTGCGAGGGCAGAGCCACTCGCAAACGCGCGCTGCACACTGCTTTGCTGGCCCTTCTGCATGCAAACCACAAACCCTAAACCCTAAACCCTAAACCCTAAACCCTAAACCCTAAACCTAACGTTAGAGTTTGGCCGTATTTGGAATACGAGTCTCAAGCGCGGATCGCCTACGCCGCACAGAGCTCCTGCTACACCAAACCCCAACCCCCACCACCAACCCTTAAACCCTAAACCCTAAACCCTAAACCCTCAGCCGTACGGGTAGAACAGGCCCCTCTAAAGGAGAGAAGGAGAGGAGTCGACCTAAGAGCGAATTCTCCTGGAGGTAAAAGCCGGGCTGCGACCCGGGCAGCAGCGGCGAGAAGGAAGGCATAAAACACGGGGCAGCAGCAATAAAAGAAGCTGAAGACAGAGACAAAAGACAAAGATATGCAGCAAATAAACCCTCTAATACAACCCAACGCAACACAATATACATATAGATATATATTTGTTTAATTATTTATTTATTTATATAATCGTCAATATATAAGATAAGGCCACTGTATGCTAGTCACAGCCGCAGCAGCAGCAGAAGCAGCAACAGCAAAATGTGCAGCACCTGCTGCAGCAGCACCGCCAAGGATACAGGAGGATAGCAGCAAAACCCTACATGGCAGCAACTGAGGGAATGCACACGAGAAGGAGTCGACCGTACACAGCAGCAGCAGCAACAGCAATAACAGCAGCAGCAACAACAGCAGCAGAAACATCAGCAGCAGCAAGAGGTCGTAGCGACCCGTGGGCAGTGAAGAAGCCCAAACAGCCTGCAGGAAGAAGAGCGGCAGCCGCAGCCCCAGCAGCAGCAATAGCTGCAGCATACAGCAGCCGCAACAGTAGAAGCAGCGGCAGCAGCAGCAGCAGCAACTTACCGATGGGCTTGAAAGAAGACAAGAACCGGATAGCGCCGACAGCTGGGGCTTTGTAGTCTCCCACCTGGGGACGAGCAGCAGCAAGCAGCAGCAAGCAGCAGCAAGCAAGTGTCTCTCTGCCTCTGTGCGTGTGTGTGTATGCCTCTTCTGTCTCTGTCTCCATCTCAGTCTACATATCTCTTTCTCCTTTGTCTCTGTTTGTCTGTCTCTGTCTCTTTGTCTCCTCTCTTTTTGTATGTGTTCATTTGTACTCCTCGCCCTGTAAGTGCAGCAAAGAATGCCTCAATTGCAGCTCTAAATGCAGCAGCAGCTGTCTCCTCTCCGCCTGGAGACTCGCGCAGGGCCGTAAGAAGCTGCGTAATGAAAGCCGTAGCCGCCCCTCCCTCTAAGAACTCAGTAAACTGTCTAGACACCTGAAATAAGCAGCAACAGCAACAACACACACACGCAATATATATAATATATATAATATATAATATAAATGTATATATAATATAACATATATGCATATATTGTGTACATATATGTATATATATGTGCATACACATACACAAGCATAAATACATACACAAATGCATCTACAGGCATGAGGAGAAGCGCGCATACAGAGGCAGACATACATTCGTGTACGAGCATACATATATATATATATATATATATATATATATCTATTATATATATATATATATACATACATGCATATTTAGATTTATATATACACATAGACGTAGGTTATTATGCTGGCAGGTAAACGTAAATCTCGTACAAGCAAACACGAGCGCACTGACACAAGAATATTAATACAAACACAAATACGCATGCGTATAATATATATATATATATATATATATATATGGTGTTCGATACCTGTACATATACGCATGCGCACACGCATATTGAAATACACAAACTATTGTAATGAGACACATCCACATATAATTATATATATATATATATATATATACGCACGTAAGGCAAGCGCGCATGCACAAACATACACACAAATGCATATAGACACATAAGCACCGCCGCCTGCTCACCAGCATGCATGACAACATAGCAACTGGTGCAGCGGCAGCACCTGCAGCAGCAGCACCTGCAGCAGCAGCAAGGGGTTTTCTTACTTCTTGAGTTGGAGGCGGGTCTGCCAATTCGAAAAGCTCCAGACAGCTCAGCAGCAAAACGCAGTTATTCACCAGCTGCTCCTGCACTGCTGCTACTGCTGCAGCACGGCCTTCTGCAGGCAAGTACCTGCAGCGCAGCAGCAGCAAGTTACCCGCAGCAGCAGCAAAACAGCAGCAGCAACACCAACCACTTTGAACGAAAAAAAAAACAAAATCACTAGCAGAAGCAGCAGCAGCAAAAGCAGCACCAACAGCAGCAGCAGCAAGCCAAGCAGAAGCACACGCGCAGCATGCCACCACCAGCAGCAGCAGCAAGCCAGGTAGCAGCAGCACCGCAGCACGCCCCCAGCAGCAGCACCAAGCCATTGCCGCCAGCAGCAGCACCAACAACAACAGCAGCAACCCACCAGCACCAGCAGCAAGGAGAGCAGCAAGCCAGCAGCAGCAGCAGCAACAGGAGCAGCAAGCCACCAGATGCAGCAACACCAGCAGCAACAGCAGCAACAGCAGCAGCAGCCCGTGTACTTGGTGTATGTGTCGTCTGTAAGCCTGCGGTATGCCTCCGCGTTTGCTCTGAAGAGATTTTGTGTTTTTGTCTTCCACAAGATTTGCGTCTGCTCAATAAGTATCTCCTGCACCATCTCCAGGCGTAGCCTGAGCATAATAAAGCCTAAACCCTAAACCCTAAACCCTAGCACTAGGCTGGCTAGTTTGGGGCACACAGCGCCTTATGAGTGAAGAAGAAAAGCCCCCTTTCCCCGGCAGCAGCAATTAGAAGTGTATACTGCGATTGCTCGTTTGTTTCTTCTTGTTAATGTCCTTTCCGTCTACGTTTATTTGTTCGTATTTACGTATTGTTTGTTTGCCTGTTTGTTTTGTATGTGTATGCGTATATATATATATATATATATATATATATATGTATATGTGCGTGTGTTTGTGTGCTGCTACTTTGTGCTGTTGGTCGTAGGGTGTCTGTACACCTGGGTGTCTGTCCTTCTCTGGTGCATTCTTCTGCTGCATTTGGAAGAAAAAGACAATTGGGGAGAAATCCACCATTTGCTCGCACTCGCAGTGTTGCCTGAAGGAAGCGGTCTTCTTTCATGTCTTTTTGTGGTATATCTGCTGCCGCCTCAGAGCGATTCACCCCTGTTCCTGATGCTGCTGCACCTGCTGCTGCTGCTGCTGCTGACGGGTCATCTTGGTGGCCAGAAGCACCAGCTGGTGCTGCTGCTGCTGCTTCTGATGCGCCTTCTGCTGCAGCAGCTGGGGACGAGGCGGAGGCCGCAGCCCCCGAAGCTTGGGGCGGCTCCATGCCCTGCAGGGGCCCCAATGCGTAGCCTGAAGCAGCAAGAGAGCGCGCAGGTTGATAGTTCTGTTGAAGAGACAAGAGTTTCCTGCCTCTTTATTATTCCTATGGAGAGGCTCTTATTGCAGCTGCTGCTCGCTGCAAAACAAAGGGAAATGGCTTTGTCTGCTGCGCCGTTCTTCGATGACTTTGCACGGTTATTCAGGCTCTGCTTAACAGTCGCCCTGTACACTTCAAGCTGAGGTGTATACGCAGCTAGCGGAGAGCAGCAGCTCCCCTAGGGCTCTTCAGTCGTCGTAATGCAGCTGAAGGGGGGACTGCTGGGAAAAAGAAAGAGGCATCTATAGGAGTTTGAGAAAGACTAATAGCACAAGTTAGTACAAATACCTCAAATGAAAGGAAAGAAGTTTGTGAAAAAACACAAAAAATAGCTCAGCTTGCGTTGCCGTCAGCGGCTCCCCAGGCCGCTCTCTGCCCCAGCCAGCGCATGCGCCCGAGCATTGCATCTTGCATTTTCTTCTCTTGTTCAAGTATTTTATTGGTTATATAAACATATTTAAGGCTTAACAAAAGAAATGCAGTGAGAATCACCCTTGTGTGTGGGGTGCGATCGTAGCAGCAAACAGCAGGGACCCCCTGCTAGCGCCACCACTCTTACTACTACTCCGTAATATGTTTGATCGGCTAGTTTGCAGTTTATGCTCGTAATTTCTTTTTCTTCTTCTTCTTCTATCACAGACTCTGACTGAAACCTCTGCATTGTTGCACCTTTTGTTCTGTCTTTGCAACTAACGGGCTGCTCTGATTTATTCGCTATGGTGTCCTCACTGTAACGCGCTCTGTACCAATATGCACGAACATGAATATTTTCTTAACCTTAGTGCGCAGCCTGCACGCAAGCAGAAGCACAACAATTGTCTGCAGTGTTTGTGTAGACAAAAAATCAGCGTTGGCTGTGCACTCGTGAAAAGGTGCCTTGAAAAGTTAGTTGCAACAAAGTGCGGTGCAACTCATCTCAAGCCGTCTCCTCTCCCTTCGTCAAATGCCTGTAAGTCGTTGTCTCCAGATCGTCTGGAGAAGAGAGGAGGTCAGCTGCTTTGCAGGAAATATTCCCGTAACTTTTCGCTATCCGCGCAAAGGATCGCGGCCTCTCGTTGCACTCTGCGTCGCCTCTCCTCGCTCGCTTTTTTGGTGGTCTCTCCTCCAAAACTCCCCACAATTTTTTAAAAAGGATTATTTCTCGAATGTCGTTGGTGAGGAGGGGGGCGTATTGCACTGCACAAAGCATCACAGCGTAGTCTGATTTGCGGAAAATGCCAAGAAGCGGGGGTTATTTCTGGCCTATGCATGCTGTGAGGAGAACGGGCTCTAAAAGTCTTAAGCAATTTGCTAGTTGGTTATCTTATGAGGAGCCGCGATGGCTGAGCTGAGTCGACTGCCTCCCGGCAGCTGCAGCCCTTTTGTTTATGCTTGAATTTCGGGTGTTTGCACCTGACAACAAAGACCCTGAGCAAAGCACTTCAAAATATGTTTGGGTATCAATGTGCTTAAGTTTCAGACTCAACCATGTATGCCATTTTGCGTGAAGAGCCCCGACCTCTGTATAAGCCGTTTTGTGGGGCAAGCTCAGGGAACTTTTGTTGACTTCCTGATTATTGGTCCGATTGTATCGGAACGTTGGGGTGTATGCCTACAATGTAGACCAAAGCATTAAGTTCGGTTGCTTGCCCTCTTACGCTTTTGAGCCAATCCACTAAAGCCATATCGCTTTGGTCCAAAAGGACTGCTGAACGTCGTTTGTCTAAGCTCCCTGCCTGGTGTTGTTGCGCTTCCTTCGTCCATTCCAGCGCTGCAACAAGTTGCCTAAAAACATTTGGCAATTGTGGGTTTATGGGTCTAAGTGTCAACTTCCAGGTCTAACTTCCGCTCAGACAATGGCGTTCCGTTGTAAACCAGGGAGGCCGTAGAGCAACGGGTCAACCAATGCAATATTGTATTATATATTCATTCCCCACAAGGGTGGAGATCAAGCCATTTCAACAAATTTTCTGGATATGAAGGCACAAACAGTGCAAGAGCGTGCGGTTGGAGCGTTTTTTTAAAACCTTTGCCTGTGGGTGGTTTGCGGTGGTCTTGCTAAGGTTGATATCAAGCTGATTCATGTATTGGCGTCAGAGGGCTCTAGCGAACTTTCGGATCCCGCCAGCAATGGTATTTTTTGGGAAAATCATAGAGCTTCTAGAAGGTATTAATGAATAGTTGGGTCACTCCCTCGTGTTACCCTATACCCACCTACTTAGGTGGGCACTATCTGTGTATCTATTTATGGAGTGTATATATGTATATATATGTGTATATATAGGTACACTCAGCAAATCTTCGACTGATTAACCAACATAGCGGGCAGAACCTTTAAAAACGCATTCGCATCTCATAATCTTAGAAGGAAAACGAAGAATAATAAAACTCTCCGCTGAGCCCCAGGCACGTCGGCGCCTGGGCGGCAGTACCAACCTTACAGCCAGCCCCGTGCCTGGTGTCCTTGCCGACTAGCCTTAGCCTCAAGGCTTCTTTTTCCATCTAATATTACTTGATTCATTTCTATTATTTTTACTCCTTCTGCTCGATAGGCCTTTAGGGGACCGATTTGAGCACCATTGTAGTGCCGGTGCACTACAGTTCGGCAGTCGCGTTCAATTGTCCAAACGGAAATCACGTGTACTCTAGTTTTCAAGTTCCTGTAAGGAGCGCAGTGTTGCACCTGTCGGCGAAGAGGACTGGGGTCTGCAAAAACGCGTAGCCGAGTGATGATGGCTATGATGATTAGACTCCTGAACTGCAAGCGGTCGAGCAGCTCGTCGGCCCGGAGCATCTACGGGTTTCGCTTCACCGTGATTTTGTTGAGAGCCGTAAAGCCGCCGCACACTCGTCACCTGTCTTTTTCGTTCTTCAACGGCTGATGGTGTCTAACCGCGCTACTTGACTGCTGAATTTTGCATATACTTGTCAGTTGGTCTTCTTGCCACACAAATTGCTTTCCACTGTGTGGGGATCACCGGTGCCTTGCAAAAAAGCAGGTGACGGCTCCAGGAGTGAGCTTCATACGATGAAATGGACGTGTGGCGTGTGACCAGCACGCTGGCAGCTCCTAATCAGTGCGCTGCTAAAATATATCAAATAGAATGCAGAACTGTTCCTTTAATTGTGCCGCCTCTTATCGTTCTTTGGGTGTTAACTGGATGGATATCCCCAAAACTGCATTCTGCGTACGACTTTCACGACTGAGTGCATGAATTTATGCCGTTGCCTCCTGTAGTGCCCCTGCAGTGAGTAGTAACCTCCCCGCTCCTTTGTTCTTCGATACTGACTCCACTCCTCGTGCCGCAGAGAATGCATAAGCGGTTGAGGGCGCTCAGAGGTGCTCTCTCTCCGCGCTTCCCTGCACATAGACCTCAATCATGTTGTCTGGCAGCAGTATGGCCGCCCTCCATTGAGTCGCCCAAGGCGTGCCTAGGATGTTTTCGTGGCGAAGTGGACCAACATAGAAATTTCGTGTCATGTGATTATGACAAATGCCCGAATTGAGCTTGCATTTTACACCTGTTGCCTGCCAGATCCTTGTCCGTCTCGCATCGGCGAAACGCGGCAACAGAGACTGCGCCAACGAATAGACAGGTAGGTTGCGTCTTCTTGCCGTTCTTTCAGATCTAGAATCCACTTCTCAGTGTGTGCCAAATAACGCTACCTACGTCTTACCATCAATGTAAAAAGCTTGTATAGGCAAAGAGCTGGCTAGGGGCGAATTTGTAGGTGCCGCTGTAGCCTTGATTGGCCGCATGACGGCGCGGAAGGTTGCTTGGGCATCAACGCGTCTCTCATTTCGCTTTGTTCCCCTGAAGGTTCTACTAAACACCGTGTTTTGCCGGTTCATGTGGTGCCTTGATGCGCCTTCAGTCTCATATTGTGCGACCTTTCTTACTGCAAAAGCATCGGATGGGACAGTCAGTGCGCCCTCCTCCCACTTGCTATGTGTCATACTCGCCACCTGGTTTCAGTTCCCATTTCTTGTCTTTTCGGGTCGGGGGTAGCATTCGTAGCCCCAGTATACAAAGGCACTGTATCTGGATCATTCCCAAACCTGCCGTCTTCCTTCTTAACTAGGGCATTGGAAGCGACGTATTTTTTCTTTGATGCAGAGGTGCTGGTTCATATTGGGGAGTTCCACCATTTTGCCCCTCATCTCCCTCTCCGCGGCATGGCAGGTTACCGATTGCCCGTGCGAGCTCTGACCTGTTAATGACAAACCTAGCGCTGCCCCTACGGACCACGCTTCTGCAAGAGGCAAATGCTATTTCCAGCAAGAGGTGCGCCCAAACCTTTTGTGACTCGTCTTGCGTCCCGTCACGAAGAGAATGAGCCCTCTTCATGCTTCTAATGTTCCTAAAGCATAAAGCAGCGTAGCATACGTACGAGCTAGTACGCCTGTACCATGCGTTGCATGTATGTGCCCAGCAGCTTATCCTAGCCACGGGAGGAGTTCCGCTTTCGCTCCTCCGGTTACTAGGAGCTGCAGACTATCGTCGCGTACGTTTTGCTTTCTGCCCACTAATGGTAGCCGCATTCACTTCTCTAGAATGAGTGCGCCCGCCTTTAGAAATCAATGCGCACCGGCGAGCACTTATCAGCCATCTGCTACCTGATAGTCCAAGAGTTAGGTCAAGGTAGCCAAAGTAGCAGATAATTCGTTCTTTTCACTCATACTCCCCACAATACCTGTGCCTGGATACCGGCTCTCATGCCGGCAAAACAACGAGAGTCTCCATCTCCATGTAAGTCTTTTGCACGCCTTCGGCGGATGGATCCGCCTGCTGTGACCGAGGGCGGAGACAAAGTATGTAATTGAGGCCCTACATGCGTTCATTAGGTGACAACAAGCTTATGGTTTGAGCTACTGAGTAGGCAGCTACTTGGCCGATTGCAGACCCTCAAAAAAGCTTCGACACGCGGGAACTTGTGTAGGAAAAAATGTCCGATTTCATCTGTTCCAGTGTACACCAAGTCGCAGGAAGCAGGCACGGAACTTGCTCTTTGTCTTTCAAAGGAGCAAAGCTACGAAAACATCTCTCCCCTTCCTTCCACTTGTGCGCGCAACAAGTTGTCCACTTGGTATGCGCGCAGTGCAAAGAAGGCAAATTGGGTATGTTTTCTAGAAGCACAACAACAATACTAAAGCCTGTAAATGCCCTAGGCAAGAGACCCAGGAACAGGTACTGCCGGCCTGAAGTGGCTAAAGCAGGAATTTCTGGCGCCTGCTTCCAGCGGTTTACCTGCTGGCCACTCAGAGGCTGTGCCAAACAACTCGGACAAACGCAGCGCGGCACACACCTCTAGTGAGACTCATGCGGAGAAGAACGTAGTGCTGCTCCCAGCTGCAGATGCACAGATCTCCAGCATCCCGCAGTTGCTGCTCCCGTTGCTGCTACTCCTCCTCCAGCCCGTCGCCAAACCGTTCAGAAGCCGCCGAGTCAGGCCTCCTAACCTGCCTTTTGCAGCAAGCGCTACCATGGAGATGAGGAAAAGGAGGTAGCGTTCGCCTCGGGCATAACATCAAAAGCGGGTTGAGGAGGTTCTTTGTCAGTAGTTCCTCGCGACAAGCCACACGCGCCTCGCCTGTGTTCACTCATGATTCCACCGGAGCGGGATAGCTGGAAGAAACTAGGGTGGAGGCGAGAAGGGATGAGCCCGTTGAGGCGGGCGAAGGGCTGCAGTGAGGTAACGAGAATGCCGACAAGATGCAGCATTTCATCGTCAGTCCCCGAGATAGAACTAACGACGTTGCAATGCTCCATCTGTCCAAAGACGAGTGACCGCATGCGCATCTGGCATGCACGCGTGAAAGGAACTGTGAAAGAAGCCACTCAACCGAGCACTCCAGGCGAGGCTTTGCACAGTTGATGCGCCCTGAGGTCCACGAAATAAGGATGGTTTTCAGTGGGTCGCGAGCTGCCGCAGACGAATATCACTGGGTCAAGGTCAGTCCGTCGGGCCTTTGTAGTTACTGCTCAGCTGAGGCATGTGGAGCGCACGCCGATGCATTCTTTGCATTCAAGGGCATCTAACGAGATCAGAAGCCACTGAAATATCGTGCTCCCCAACGAAGCTGAAGAAAAAGACGGTGAGATAGCTTTGTCGGCCTGCGAAGACTGCACTTGTCTACAGCTATGCACTCCCCGGCACTGCTTTCAAGACGCCACAAAAAAGACATACTGAAGCCGCTTCCCCCCTAAGTTGTAACCCCCGTCAGTTTCCTCCCCCTCCCCCCTCCTCGGAGGTGCCTGTACAAACAAGAAACACAACATTGCTCACGGCTTCAATGAATACCGCCTAGCTGATGCTCCCTAGAGACTCTTCGAGGGGCTGATGTGCCCACTCAAATAATGTGGCCGTACGCCTGCTTCTGGATATCTGGTTTCTCTATGTATTGAGCTGTCCTGGGTCTAATAGGTTGCGTGAGCAAGGACTGAAGAAGGGAGACAAGAGGGTCCAGATTCTCCTGTCGTATCCATTGATGCGTTTTGAGTGCTGGGTCGTCGCCCTTCTGAAGCTGAAGGTAGTCTACGTTCATGTACTGAATGAATGGGAAGATAACGCCTTCTTACCGTCTTTCGGTCCCGACTCCTGCACCGGCTCGTGGCCTAACATTTTCCCTGCGATTCCCTCCGGCCCTACAGAATCTGTTAACTGCTCTCCTGGAATGGGAGGCGGAATGGGTCGTAGCGACGTGGAAAAATCTTCAGCTTCAGATTCAGTATCATCTGCGAACCGTATGTTCGCAGCTTCCCCGCCACCCAAAAAGCCTGAATCGTCATACGGCAAAACACGCCCAACGATGGACACCCTACCGCAATATTACGCGGCGCAATGCTTCGCAGTGAGCCATCAGGAAGGAGAAACGAGAAGCAGGCTTATTTCCAGGTGTTCACTCACCACCACCCATATCACCTTCAGAAACAATGTTGCGCGCCGATGAGCGCTCACCTGTAACGCTCTCCGTGCCCTGTTCCAAAGTGCCGCTTGGTGTTGAGGGCGGCCCTATGTCGTTGTACGGAGGCGGCGGCGACTCCATCGGCGGCAATATCGTAGATACTGTAGGAGAGGGACTCCGAGAGAGACCCTCATCGGAACTACTATCCTCCCCCAAAAAGTCATCATCGCTAGAAGCTTCACTCCAGGACTCGGCGGGCGCCATCGTTGCTACGGCAACTGCGTCGTCAACAGGCACAGCATGGTGAGCAGAATCGTGGGAAACACAAATACATCCGCACACACTTACCCTATCACTGCCAGAGACGACGCCGTTGCGTGCACCCGTGCCCAGGTCGCCCATAGTTAGGGACTCCTCATCTGGATAGGTGGACACTGGAAGGAAAAAAGCGGGCAAAGGAACAGGTAACTTTACCTTCTGAGATAATGCTGTCGTCATCAGAATCCCCGGAGACTACCCGTATTCTTGCCAAATTAGGCTTTCCTTCGTGACTGCCTAGGCTGCTGGGGAAATCCGCTGCACCTGAATTGCCAATAGCCAAAACACTCCTTCCAGTGTCGCGCAGAGCACAAAGAGGCGCTCTCTGGTGATGCTGAAGCAACGTTGTTTGGCGTGCACCCACAACGCGGCTGCAGCTCTCGCTCTTAGCTCCTGACTGATTGGGGCCCAGACGCGAAGCCTGAAAGAGGGGCGACAGTCACGTAGCCTTACTTGGACGACTCAAAGGCCTCCGCAATGTTGCCGGACTGTCGCTTCCTTCTGGTATAGGTAGAGGCAATTCTGAGGGAAGCGCAAGCGCACGACCAGCGTACACCACACGGTGGAGGGACCGTTTGATCCAGGACCCTTGGCTTGGTAAACCCAAGGCGTTGTATTGCAGTCAAAAGAAGAATTGGAAAATTCTGTCGTGTCAATTAGTGTGGCATCAGTTTCGGGTCGTCTCCCTTCCGCAGCTGAAGGTAGTCTGCGTTCATGCATTGAATCAGAAGGTAGCGCGTCCTCACCATCTGCCCTTTGCCCCGGCCCCTGCACCTTCGGGAGGCCGCCTGGCATTCCCGGTGGAACTTCCTCCTCTCCGACAGAAGCTGAAGCCTGCTCGCCCGGCTTGGGAGGCTTAAAGGGAGGTGGAGGAGAGATGCTCTCTTCACGATCAGATGCACCTTCATCTGAGAGCCGTGCGCCTCCACCTGCCCCGCTCCCCGCAGAGCCTGAGCCGTCAAAGGGCGAAACACTTTAAGTGAGTGTCACCCTACCTCACGCGGCGTGATGCCTAGAGTTGCGGCATCATGAAGGAGAACACGCAAAGTCGGTCTATTTTTAGGCCTTCACGCACTACCATCCAAATAACTTTCAGCAACACAGCCGAGCACCGATGAGCACTCACCTTCCCCTTCGTTCTCATTGTCGTCCCAGGCGCCCCATGGTACTGTGAGCGGTCGTTGGCGCTCATGCGAAGACGGGAAAGACCCCATCGGCACTGAAGCCCCAAGTGGTGGCGCAGAGTAACGTCTCGGCCCCCCATGCATAGCTTCATCCCCAGGAAATCCTTCATCGTCACTTACTTGCACAAAGGTCGCATGTGCTAGTGAATCAGCTGCGTCGTCAATAGGCACACCATGGAGAGCAGGGTAGTGTGGTCAATATGCATATGCATTTACCTTGTAATTGCCATAGACGACACCGTTACATGCGCTCCTCCTCAGGTCCCCCATAGTCGGGGCCTCCTCAGCTAGATGGGTAAACACCGGAGGGGAAGAAAGTAATGTAGAACGAACACGCAGCTTTACCTGCTGGGATTTCGCCATCTTCAGAGCCCAAGGGAGACACCTGCCATCTTTCCTCGTCATCTGCTCCTGGGTAGTATACTAGCGTGCCGCGAAGAGGAGGGCTGTCCGATCCACCTAAATCACCAGCAGCAACAACACTCCCTTCAGTGTCACCCAGAGCATAGACAGGCGCTCTTTGGAGATGCTGAGGCAACACTGCATAGCGTGGACACAATGTACAGGTGCAGCTCGCGTATTTAGCCCTTGACGAACTGAGACGAATAAACGGAGCCGCGGAGGGAGGCGAAAGCCAAGTATTCTTACTTGAAATTCTCCGACGTCTCAATACCCCCGTCTGACGGTTGTTGCCTTCTTCTGATGGGGGTTGGCTCAACCCTGAACAGAGCACAAGGGCACGAAAGGCAAACCAGCGTCCAGCTCACGGTACATGGCCGTTTGCTCCAGAGCCCTTGGCCTGGCTAAAAGACAACATTGCGCCGCACCTTGTTTTGCTCCCGAAGGAGGCGAAGGAGCGGGGCGGACAGGTCGAGGCAGACGCGGGTCATGTTCCGCAGCCTCATGTTCCCTCTTCACCAGGATGGTCGTGAGGGGCCTGGAGTACATAGACGAGCGGCGTTTCTCTTCAAACGCGAAAGCATTAACATTATTCGCTTCGTGCTGCTCGCGCCCTATCGACAGCGGCGGAGCGTTTTCAGGGTTTTCGACATCGTATTCTTCTCTGAGATTCTTGGCACCGTCAAAGAATTCCTTGAGCTCTTTCAGCTCCTCACTGATCGCCGACAAAGCTGTCTCTAACTCGGCCAACCGAATGTTGTCGCTCGGAAGCCGCCGCCGCCTTTCGGCCTGGTTGTCGAAGGCTCGCTGCACGCGCAATTTCCTTTGTTCGAAAAACTCCTCGCGCGTCGTGAAGGCCGCGGCTTCTGTAGATAGTACGAGGGCTCTTTGGGCGCGCACGGAGACTTCATAGTTCTCCCAGTGGAAGAGCGCACCTTCCAGCTCCTCTGCTTCTTCTTTACTAAGATTATCACTGGCGGCGCGCTCGTGCAGCTGTTGCTGCTTCGCCACGCACACCTTCACCTGTTCGTCAAGCTCCTCCAGGTAGAGCTTGGCGCGCGCTTGCTGTTGCTCCTGCACGCGCCACTCCTCCTGCACCATGGCGCTAATGCTGTCGAGCCCGCCTCTGCCAGACTTCTCCAGAATGACCTCGTCGAGCCATTCCGCTTTAATAGTCAGCAGCTGCCTTATGGCGGTCCACGTTGCCGCCTGACAGCGGACAGCCGCCCCTAGCAGAAGCCTGCGGGCTTTGAGGATGTCCTTGGCCTGGTCGGATGTAGACGGCTGGTGTGGAAGCGACTTCAGCACGGACATTGCACCTCGTATCGTCGTGAGATCCAGGTGGTCCACTGAAAAGGGGTTCCACGACCTAGAAGCAGGCCCTGCAGAGACCACCGAGTCAAACTCTTTCTCTACCTGCTGCATGAGCTGGGCGGCTTGGCCAACGGTACGAAATCCTCTGGCTCTCCTGTTCTCAGAAACTTCGTCTTTCCCTCCGCGCCCCACGAACGCACTTTGCGTAATTGCAACCTGTTTCTCTACCTCCTCAGTGGCTTTCTTGATGGCCTCCAGGCGAGCTTCCTTCTCTTTCAGCTCCTCTTCTTCGGCGCGCAACATCATCTCCTGCTGTTCGATATACTGGCGCTTGCTCTGGAGGATCCCTTCGTTTTGGTCATTGGCTCTCCGCATCTCCGCCAAGGTTTCTCTGAGGTCAGTCAACTTCTTTTTTTCAATATCTATCATATCCCCCCACACCTGCAGACGCTTGCTCAATGCATAGTTCTCTTTCGCCTTCCTGCTGGAGAGAGCGACGTATAGGGCGCGGACGAGCACCGCAGTGAGGAAGCAGGTGAGCAGCGCCACCTTCCAGCCCCTCCGTGCTCCTCTTGGCCCCTTTGAAGCACTCCTCGCAATGGAATGGTTCTTATCTGATGGATGCACTGCCCTGGATACAGAAAATTGGTGGGTCTTTTGAGTCGCACCGCTTGGGCGCTGTACGGCACCGGGCTCCTCGAACCCCGCATCATGCATACGCGCGTCAGCCGCGGCTTGCTCGGCAGCAGCAACGCGTGGACCTGGACTAGGGAATGCTGTGCTTCCTTTCGAGCCCTCCATCTGCGGATACCAGCAGCTTAGAAGTAGCCCCAGAAGGCCCACCGCTAGGAGCCCGAGCTTCTGCATGTTCCCCGGCAAAGAACACAGCAGAGCTGGTTCAGCAGCCACCAAGGCCGGCTAGCCTGAACCCAAGCAGCTCTGCCACCGACCGAAGACTAACGACCTTCAAGAGTTCGAGCCACACGAAGAACGACGTGCTGATGTGGGAGGAGACGCTCCCTGCACTGCCTCTCAAGAGAGGCAAGCCCGATAGGTACAAACAACAGCTACCTCTTTGCACAGTTGCCAGTAGAAGAAGATCACCAAAATGTACAAACACGGTGAGAGGCCAGGCGCCAAGGGCTGGCTCGCCAGGGCCACAGGACAGGCCCCCAACGGACGTCCCTCCAGACTTAAGGAAGCGCTGGGGGCACAAACCTTCAAATAGCTGTCAACCCCCCATTAAATGCAGGTGTTAAAGAAGCAGCGAACCATCAACGGGGAGAAACAGGCAACGGGCGATCCTCGCGAGGACTGGAGGAGGGCTTGGGATCCGATCCTCATGGGTGAGAACGTAGCTTTGCTAGGCCTTTTTCTCTGCAGAAATATGAAGTAGTTGATGCATTGCATGCAACTTGAAAAAGCAAAAGACCGCCTTTTCCCCAAAAGTTGACTAACGAGAAGATGGCGCGGCTCCCCGCAGGAGACCCCGTCATGCAACCCAGGTGGGAAGGCGTTAAACGGAAGGAAAGAAGGTCAATGTTCCTTGAATCACTTGATTTAATGCCGTTTTTATCCTCTAACAATCAGGATAAAGGCTTCTGAAACCCAGCCCTGGCCTCAGCAGGGGGCCCGCCTTCCCCGGCAGTCAGCCACGTGCAGGAAACCTAGGGACCAGTGGCGCTAAGCCCAGGTTTAATTTTCGTTGTTCTCGTTGAAAATGTCATGCTGAAGGGGAAATATAACTACAAATAGCCTCTGTGCGGGGGGATTCAGCTCCACCGGCGGGATGAACCCCCTGGGCGCCGCAACATTCCTGCATGGCCGTAACGGCTCGATTTCAGTTCCACGCATTCAGCGCCTTGGAAGAGCGCCTATGGCTAGCTGAGAGCGGAAAGCCTGTCCTTTCGCCTACAGGTATTGTCTACAACAGCCCGTCGGCACGCCAGCGGGCCCGTAAGCAAATTATAGATCTTTGATTGCCTTTGAGGCTGTGGGCCTTCGCTCTGTTCTGCCAATGACTTCTAAAAGCACTTATATCGACTTGCACGAATGAACACTGCAAATAGCTATGTACAACCTACACAGTGTGTGTACAGCATCCCGACTTCCTAGGCTTTAAGAACTCTCAGCCAAACAGTTTGCTGTGTAAACAAACTAACCATAGGCTTTACAACAGGCCAGACAGGGCCAGCAGCCGGTTAACTGCAGCGCACAAGATAATCGTGTAAAAGCCACTAGGGTACGATACTGCGAGCTTCCCCCTGGGCCGCCGATGCCCTGGAAAGACAGGGGCCAAGCGCTCTTTAGCGTCGAAGGCATCAAAGAAGGGAATAGCAAGACAGCAGAACCCAAAGAAGATTAACCGGCTTCGCTGCAGTGCCGCTGGAGGTGCTAACGCTGCCGCTTAAGACGCAGCATTCGCGCGCCTTTGCCTGGAATGCCTCTTCGAAACTGTTTTCTAATCAGCTGCATCTGCCGTAGCGTTTTCCATGTCCTCTTTGGCCGATTAACCTCTACAAATGGCACTTTCTTCGCGCGCATCAGCTTCTTCTTGTACTTCTTCTTGTGGAACTTCCGCATCTTGAAGTAACGACGACGTTTCGTGCTGATGCCCCGCACTTGCTGTACTTGCTGCTGCTGCACCAGCTGCTGCCTCTGCTGCTGCCGCTGCAGCAGCCCGTGCGCCTGTCGTTGCGTGCATAAGGCACGAGACACAGAAACACTGACGCCTGAAGCGGATGAGCGAATACTTGGAGCCGCCTGAGCAGCGGCAGCAAACCTATGCGGTGCTGACAGGAACCACAGCCTGCTGCTGCTGCCGGTGTATGCAGCAGTGGAGTGGCCCGCACCGAAACATTTCATCTGCAGCAGCAGCAACTGCTGCTGGCGGTCTCGCTGTTGCTGCAGAAAGGGCCGTGCTCCTTTGCACGCAAGAAGGGCTCTTCCTACGTCGCCCATGGAGAGGCGGCAGACAGAGCGGCAGCATGTGAGGATGTTGCATTCCCCCGCAGCACCAGCAGCAGCAGCTGCTGCTGCAGGAGTTTCTGGTCGCAGCAGCAGAGTTGCAGCATTTGCTGCAGCGCAACCGAGAGTAAGCTTCCTCCTCGCAGCGCGGCCCAAGGCCCAAGGATGGCGCATGTGGTGTACGCACGTTGCAGCTGTGTCGCTGTTTCGGGCTGCCGCAGGCACAGGAGGCAGCAATTAACTGCTCTCCCGGCTATGCCCCAGCCCTTACAGGGTTACAGCACTCTCGGAGAGGCATCCATCGCCTCTGGAAGAGGCTGAGGGGCCCTCCTGCTACGGCTGCCCCGTGGCTTCTTTGGTCTACAGGAGACGATGAAAGAGTTTTTAAAGCAAAGGGTAGCCGAAAATGCAGCCACGGAAATCTAAGATGAGCTCGCGGACCCCAGGGCCCTGCGGAGGAATGCCAAGTCGTGTGCCGCAGAGAGAAGTCTCCGTTTGGCCTCAGTGTTCTCTTGGCCCCGCTGTGCGTAGACCCTAACAGATATTAAACGAAGATATACTACACAAGCACAGAGCTGAAAACATCAGGCAGGGATAACCGCACCAGCCCAACCGTCTACCTCCGCGGGCCCAGGACACCCCTGGGGCCCCCCGCATGCACGGGGATCCGTGGAAGGTCTCCACGTTATAATTTGTGCACTTTTGCCTTTTAAATGTCTTATTTACACTTGGTGGCGCAAAGCAAGTTCTGCGCAAGAAGATCAAGAGTGTCCTTGCGAGCCATAAAGGGAGGATTCAGCGTTGGAATGCTACGTGCGTTGTTGTCTGCTGATCTTTTTTGTCTGTGTAGCCGTCTTTGTGTCCGTGTGTCAACTCTGCGGAACTTTTAATCCACCCTCCTCCAGTAGCAGGCCCCTGGGCCCCCTGTGTCCCCCCCCACCCCAGTGTCTCTTGGCTGCATTGCTAGCTAGGCAGAAGAAAAGCCGCTGCACAAGCACCTCCCGGTTGTTGCACGCAGGCTAGGATACTGTGTGGGCGTATCGCGCGTAGTGCTGCTGTTAGTTCGATCTGTGGTAGACCTAGATAAGTAGAGAGAAGCTGCCATACCCTGTGCTGTTGCGTGGGGCCGCACCTTTAGTTCACTCATATTGAAAATCTATACCAAAACAACCAAACCATAAGACGTACAATGTGGGAGTCCGCCATTAGCGCCCGTGATCTCCTGCTGCAAGAACAGGATCGCCCACGAGCCTTCCCCGGGTCTTTTGGAGCCGCTGGACCCAATAATCTGTGGGAGGTTGGCGGAGACGCTGGGGAGGCTCTAGGGATTAACCAGCGGGAGCAGCTGCTGCACATGAGTGCTGGCCCTCACATGGCTTCATCTCTGAAAGGAGGGGGCGCTGCACTGTGGATAAGGCCGGCTCCCCAATTTGTAATTAAGGCGAGGCTCCAACAGGGCCAAAAGCTTTTCCTGAACATTTGCAGCCACCCACAAATAGAGCCATGGCACTACAAAGAAGATCTATCTGAAGAGGGGCAGGGGCCCCAAGGAGGGGTTCGGATCCCCATGAGTATTGGCCCGTGTCCGTTTGCCCAATTCCTTCGCAGGGCAGCGACACCAATACTGTTAGCGTGTAGTTAGTATGCGTGTGGTCCACGATATCCTCTTCTAAGCTGTAGCAACGCAGGAGCAGAGGCATTTCCTTTCTGTGCTGGAGCGGTTCAGGTGTTCAGACAAGTGACAAGCAAGGGACTGCTGCTCTTTGCTGTGACGTCGTCTTCAACAGAGGCAAGGGCTGCCATGAAGGATTATGCGAGTTTGTAGTGAACTGGCCTGTGCTATTTGCTGGAGCGGAGTGTGATTGCGCATATCCTCTTGGCGCGAGCTCCCTTATCCCGTTCCTGCAGCTGCAGGCCTTCTTTGTTGTGTTTCCGCAGAAACACTGGAGCGCTGCTGGGGAGAACGCCAGTCCCGCGACGTCCTCCGACAGTTTGCGTGTGCAGCGGTGGCAAGGAAGCACAAGCTTGATCTTCAGGGGACAGTTTCATTTCCTAAAGCCACCTACAAGGGTTTGTTTTTTGCACCAGTAGTCCGGTATTAAAAGACGTAAGCGGCCGTGCCTCGAAATACCCCCTGCTGGCTCCCCAGGGTCCCTCTAGTGCTCCTCTCGGCCGCTGCTGCTGCTGGACTGCAGGGAGACTTCCTCCCCCCATGCAACGCATAAGGGTGACACGCGAAGCCCACATTGAGGTGCTCACAGCTGACTCTGCAGCAGAAGCTCGAAAAGCCTCAGCTACGGGGGAGCGGGCAGCCACTGCAGCACCACTTCCTGCTAAGGCCAGCAGCAGCCTTGCCGAGTACTTGGTTTGGGAGGGAGTCTTCGTTACGCCTGCAGATGCAGGGGCCTACTGCCTCTCTCTTTCACAAGGTTTGAGGCCTCAACAAATCCCAGGATCCCAGACCATGTCTCTCAGTTCCCAGCAGGACTCACTTGCTAGCACACCACACGTCGTGCCCTGGATATCTAGCTGGATTAACCGTTACAGCAGCGACAGCTGCGGCAGCAGCAACAACTGTGGCAGTGAACGAATTATTCCCGCCGGGTCAGTCGAAGCAGGTGCCCTATCATGGGAAGCCAGCTCCCCCTCGACTCAAACAAACAGAAGTTGCGGCCTCAAAAAGGCATTTCTCATGGCTCATGAGGCAGCTGCAGCAGGTACCGCCAAGGATCGCAGGCAGCAGCAGGCTGAAACATGCAGCAACAAGCCAGGTATCGGGAGGCATCCAACTAGACGCGCTGCACCTGGCTCCCCCGTGCACCTGGCTCCTCACTGTTTGTCTTGTCTTCTTTATTGCCTGAACTTTGCCAAGTGCTGCTGTGCCATAATCTGCTCACTGAGCTTTATTCTATGCATTTTCAGCCCTGCATATGCTGCAAGGTCGCGTCTACGTACTCCAGCTGGTTCTGCCGCGTGCTGCTGCCTCTGTTAAGGCAGCAGCAACACCATTCTGTTCACGCTGTGCTGCCCCCAGACAGCGCTGTTACTGCGGTGAAGCCAGCCTGGCCTGGGAATTCAAATGCACATACGCCCTCAAGATAAGCGACCTTGAACTCATCGTGCTGCCCCTTCGTGGGGCCCTCTGGGGCATTGAGAGGAACCCCACTGGGTATAGCCTCATTGCACCGAAACTGCGTCTAAAGTATTTGCAACGTAGACTGCACTCAACAGTGAACTACAGCAGTGTCTTTTGCCGGTATCTCTGCTGTCTTCCGCAGGCCCCTCAACGGCTGCAGCCTTGCGTTTCCGCTGCGCCTGCGGTCGAGGGCCGCTTTCGCCTTGGTATGTACGTACGGCTGTTGCGAGAAAGCCCAAGAGTCACTGCAGCAACTACAGCAGCAGCAGTGGCTTCCAAAAGGGGAGGCGCGGGTAGCGCCTCATGAGGGGACGCAGCTATCGCCGAAAGACACGCAATCTGCAGGTGCTGCCTTTCTGTTGACTATATGTTTATTTGTCGACGATGTAGCCGAGGAAGCCTTAGCGCGTATCTGTCCTGCAGCTGCAGTAGCACTAGCTGAGGCTGCAGCGATTGGAGTTGAAGCAGCAAGAGCGGAAGCTGACAAGGAAGAGATGAGTACGAAGCTGCAGGTGGAAATGGACGACAGCTCCTCTTCAGACGACAGCTGCAGCGTTATACTTCACGGGAGCACCAGAGCCAAAGCGGCGACAGAAGGCAGCATCTACGACAGCAGCTCGAGTTCACCAAGCACCCACGTAGCATATGACGAGCGGCATAATTGAGGAGCGCTCCCTTTGCGAGGCATTTTCCAAGGCAGTGGGCAGAGGAAGCTCAGGGGAGTGGTGGTGCATAGAGGCCCCACACGGTTATGCAGCGAGGTGATGCTTGCGAAGGCTTCGTAATAGATTTTTACATATTTATACTTTTCCTCACTAGCTAACCGGCTACAGCTTTTGTCCGTTGGTCGAACAGCCGCTTGCCCCTTTCCAGGCTCGGCGATGCACGTGGCACAAGGCTTCGAACCATATGTCTCCATATTCATACTTCTCCACAATAGCACAACGGTTACAGCGTTTGTCTGTTAGCCGAAGAGTCGCTGGTCCAGGAATTGCTTTACGGAGCAGAGATTTGAACTACCACAGAAAATTCCGTTACACTCGAAACTCGAAACGGAAACTGTCTACTATTTCGCCACATGTGTACTTCATCTATAGTAAATAGACCTAGTAGGACTTAAACCTACATTGGAAACGTGGAAGGTTTAATCCTTCCCAGAATATATATACTATGTTATTTACTAGTAAGGGTAGTGAATCCATAGCAGAGCGATTACCCTACAAGCGATTCAACTCTAGCTCTCCCGTAGTAGACGGGTTAGAACTGGTTACTAATGGAATTAGCTGTTGGAGTTTATAAGTTTTAAATATGGGTATTGTTAGCGTTGAATCACCTGCAGGGTAATCACTCTGCGCAACCTAAGTGGGAAACCAATTCGGTTGAAGAAACAAGAACGTCCCTGTGAAGTAGAATACTTTGAAGTAATAGATCCCGAACAGCACCGTACGGGAAAAGTGAGAAGAATCCCTGCGGGGAGGTGGGAGGAACACAATATATAAAGAAGGGTTCGATAACCTACAAAGTTGCCTATCGGCGCTGATGAATCTTTACTTGTCTAAGCACTTGCTTAACTCAGGTGATTGAAGCCAGAGTAATGAGAGCTATTGTTGTAGTAGCGCTTGCCAATGATCAAGAAACCGAACCTACATGAATTAAATAATCTCGTTCAGGGTGATACATACACAAGATTTCATTAGAGCTTCGACGGTGGATATTGCAAAATCATCGCGCAATAGATTCCTTCGGTCTGGTCACGAAACCTAAGTAACAGCTTCCTGCCTTCAAAGTTTGCTGTTGATTAGAAATATAACTGGCAACCTCCTTTCAATGAAAACTTGAGAAAAACCATCCAGTTGCCTTTGTGTTTCTGGATAAACTGTTGGAAAGTCCCCTTGAAATTCGAATATACAGTTTCGCTATAAAATAAAGAATACATTTACACAAGATAATCTTGCATGAGAACGAAGGCCGCTTAGAGCCTGGGGGAAGAGACCGCTTCTGCCCGCGCTCGAGGATCACAGATTCTCGAGCGTGGGCAGAAGCAAAACGCCGGCTTGCCGCCAACAGACAGTATGCGTACCACGGCCCAGAAAACGCTCCACCATGTCTGCCAAAGAAAGTCTTCATGCAACAGCAAGCCCCATCCCATAGGACAGCGTAACGGGTTCTGCCTGCTGTGTAGAGACGGCCAAGTGTGCATCCACCGAAGACAGGAGGACCTGCCAACTGACGAACTCTGCAAACAAAACGAAGATCGTGCTACCGCTGTTAGGCCCTCTGATGCTCCTGCTGTTCGTGCTGGTGCTGTGGTCAGCTAAGAAGGCTGTCTGTGGAGAGGTTTGCTCCAGTGTCTGCTGCTCCCAACAGGCCTCCACCCTGCTGCTGCAGAAGGGCTCTGCTGCGCATCCCCACAAAGTGCTGTACTTCACTCCATCTCTGGGCGCACTGCCAGAGGCACTGCTGCTGGCTGCTCGAGAGAGACCGGCCTGGAGCAGAAGCGGCAACAAACACAACAAGAGCAGGGAAAGTAAAAACACATGAGGCGCTGCCGCGGCCTCCCCGTTCTCCCGCAAACCAGCCCTTGTCCCTCCAATGCGCCCTGGGGGCTCCTGAAAGGCTCATAGCCCATAACATGCGATGCAAGTGGAGATTCAGCATCTTCCTCACCAGGCTTGTCGACACATCTTGTGAAACAGCGTGATGTTAACGAAGCCAACATGCTCTGAGCCTCAAGGGCCTACAAAGGACAGAATGGGCAAAGAGGATGCACTGGCGGAACTCTGCATGCAGATGGAGCAACTCAGAAGGCCTGATGCAATAAACAGCTGCCATGAGAGCAGCAGCAGCTCTTGCTGCTCGCGCCAATGCAGCAACAACCGCAAGTGGTAGCGAGGAAGAGGAGGCAACAACGGGAAGCAAGTGAGCCTACTTACCTGCTGAAGCCCAAGCTGGAGAGCAGCAAGCTGTTGCTGCTGTTGCTGCTCGTCGTCCGTCATTAGTACAATGCGAAGTAAGCAAAAAATCCAGTGGTCTGCCCTGGCGCTAGTGATACTGCTGCTAAGGCGTGTGTTGTTGTTGCTGTGCTGGGCTGCAGTAGTCCAGCTCAATTTTCCAACTTGATCCCCTCTTGCCACCGGTTATATCTGAAAGAGAAGGGAGACAGCCATACCGTCTTCTGTCCCAGCCGACGGTGTGGGGCACTGCTTCAACAGAAGTACTTAAGCCGTGCCAGTAAGAGGTGCGAGGAGGACATACAGCCAAAACCGATTGTTGTTGAGGCCTAAAATACGAATGGAGCTCGGAAGACAACTTCTTTTACCTCTAGGGCTCCATGCCTACTCCTTTGGGGGCCCTGGTAGGCTGCGGCTTACCAGCCCAGGGCCCCATACGCGCATTTGGGTGATGGACACAAACAATTCTCCGGCAGCGTCTCATATGTCGGATTACACTGGCACAGAACGAAATATTTCCGAGGCTAAGCATACAATTTAATGCTCTACCTTCGAACGGGCCGCTACATACAACATCGTATGCGCTCGCATACGACGGAGCAGTGTGGGTGGGTAACAATAACCCCTCGACTTTAGCTGAGGGCTATTCTGAGATGACAGAAAATTCAAAACAAGTGTCCGCCTGAAACAGCTTACTTCCCCTCCATCCCCCAGGCGTCCTGCGCAAAGCGACCCAAGCGCGCGGGTGTCTTGGCCTCGAGGATGGCCTCTGTGAAGTTGGTACGAGTATGTCCATTTGTGTACATGCGGGCTGTGGATGGGCAAGTAACTGCTTGTCAAGTGTCTACAGCGTTAGAACATGCAGCAAAGCGGGGTTGGCTGTGCTTGCCCGTGCGTCGTTGCTTCGAAAACGTTGCATAAGGGATGCTTCGTCTGTTGCTGACCGTCCATATATGACTAGTGCCAACAAGCAAGGCAGTAGAGGAGTTTCTGGTCTCCCTGGGGTTGCAATGTTGCCTTCAAAATGTACTGGCGTTCTGTTTATTAGGGTGGAAGGCATGAGACTGGGGATTATAGCTAGGCATGGGCACCATTTCTCCGAAGCCCTTTCGGAGCATGGGAACTTCCCAGGATGAGTTCCAATGTGGGTTTGCCCCCAGGCCAGCAAGGAAGCAGGCTATTGCAGAGTTGAGAGAACGTAGACTAGGGCAACTGTCTGTATCGCTCTGCAGGAATAGCTATCCTTGGTGAACAGAATTCCAACGGTTTACTAGGAACTTCTATCTCAGTACTTCATAGCAGGGGTGTGCCCCAAGAAAGCGGCAATAGGCTATCGATTGGGCTGCCTAGAACGAACTAAGCAGTGACATTGTGCGCTCTCGCACACGGAAACGGAATACTTCCGTATCAAGGAAGGAAAAGATGTCACTTTCGCCGCCGTAGCTGCGAAGGAAAGAAGTGAGTTTACAAATAAACCTGATATAGACCCTATGGGTATTGGGACTATGAAGGTTGCTAGGGTTAGGAAGGGGAAAGAAGCGATACCGACAACAACTGGCTAATTCGACGATCAGCGAGCCGGGGAGAAGTGCTGAGTGGCGCGTCTGCTTCATTACATACATAGATATTGCAAATACAAGGAAACACCCAAGGAATTGTTCAATCAAGAAATCGAGTAGCGCTGCTAGGGAAACCAGCAAAGCTATCAATGAAAGGAAGTGGCCCCCACGCAACGTGCGGAGAAGTGATGGGGCCCAAAAAGATTGCAACCGCACCTGCAGATCCTCCCAAATTCCGCTCAGTACTTATTTAAGCCGTAATAAGTGAATGCACTGGAATCGGTGCCACTACTTGACACTGGTTCCGAAGTGGATCTGATACGTGAAGCTACAGTAAGAACGTAGCCTATCAGTTTCCTTGTCTGATGGTTGGTGCAGTCTCTATGACAACGCCAATGCTACGCTTCGAGGGTGGCAGACAGGATACGAGAGCATGCATATCTGTGTGAGTAAAATGCAGGCTAGTTTTAAAGAGGGCTCATATCAACATGGCAGGTGACTTCTATATGGAACTGGCTGACCACTCAGTAATCCTTGGCTTGCTGTGGCTGACTCAGTGAAGTACGCAGATGCGGCGCCCTGACAAAACTATTGAAGTCTTTGAGCCGGGCACCACTTGGAGAGTTCACCTCACACCGCTCCCAACGGCATTTGCATTCTTTAAGGAGAAGGGGACCAAGGAGATTCCCACGCAGTGCAAAAACGTCGCACGAAATGACTGAGACACGCACGCACTACGTTCTTTGTACCTTGTATGTACGGGAATCGATCCCGTCACCACCAGAGGATCGGCACAAGTAGGCGCCATTGAAGGAAAAGTGCTCGATTGCTTTAAACAACAAGGAACTCCCAGCGTGTGGGCCACCCGCCGGACGCCCAATGCAGCTACCGCATAGCCCACACACCCGGACCAGCGTCAGGGTTCGTGAGACCCACAATTTGAAGTGGAGTTTGCGCAGCAAGCAGACGAAGTACGAAGAAAAGAACGAACTCATCACCTATCTAGCGCATCTTAAACCATTCAGGTGCTGAAGACCAAAGAAGACGGGAGGTGGAGCATGCGCACCGACTTCAAGCTCCTCAACAAATATGCAGTGGAGCAAAAGCTCACAAGTCTCTGGCTCGACGACCTACTTGATCGCTTGCAACGCTCAGCAGTATATTCATCTTTTGACTTCGCCGACGTATTTTTGCAGACCCCAGTACATCCCGGCGCCAGGTACAAGACTGTATTCCACAAGTGCACTCGCAAAGTAGGGTACACACGTATGCCTTTTGGCCGTGTGAACGCACCTGCCGAACTGCAGCAGGAAGCTCGGACCAGATCTGACGAAGATAGACGGCATTCGGAGTTATCCGCTTCCTCTGTACATTTGCACGGATGTTCACTAGTTCCTCGGCTTTGCGTCGTGCTACTGCAACTACATCGCTGGATTTGTTCGAATCTCGACACATATAACGGACATACGACAGACGAATAAACAGCTCCACTTCAAAAAACGAAAGACAATCCGCCAGAAACCTGTCAGGTACCTTGCATCGTGTGCAGTACCCCCCTCGATAACGTCCTTCCAAACGACCGGCACCAATGGCGCGGCAGTTGGCCTGTTGCTCTCTCTGCAGTAGCAAGCCTCGAAAAACAACTAAATGATCGCGCGTTACTCACACCATTTCACGGAGAGAGAAGTATAGGAAACGTGAGAAGGCGCACTACGCCACCCGATGTGGAGCCCAGTATCAGGGGCAGCACCAACATGGTCACTCACGCACACTTTCGACGCGCTACCGGTGCGTTCTGCAATTCGGCTTGTCTATAAAGGCTCCCGTGCCCTTTGTTCTTACTCTTCAGCCACTCATGCGGCCGCAAGTCTTGATAGTCTAGGCAATGGGCGACAGGTGAAGTACATCGGAAGAGAGGTCTACCTTTTGCGCTACCATGCAAAACGCGGACACCCCTGCCTCTACGCTCCATATTCGGTTACCATAGAAGTTGTACAAACTGCACAAGCATGCTTTATTGGGCGATGGTGGGGGCAACATAACAGTGGAGTGGGTGGCCTAATCCCTTTTGTGGCGTAGGGTATGCCCATCCAGCGTAGGAATAATTCCTCATCTCTACGGAACGTCAGCAGCAAGAGCCTGGGAGTAATTTCAAATCCAGACACTTGCTAAGCTTTCTTATTCCCAAAAGGAACTGAATAGGCATCTCAATGCACTTGAGTGTGGGTCCACCAGCAATCAGAGGCTGGGATACCTCTACGTTGTTGTAGATCAGCAATGTAATTGGTATCCCACGACGAAGGCGGTACATGTAGTGAGTGTTGGAGAAACACCCAGCAAATATGCCGCTTTCATCCTCTGTTCAACTCTAGTTACAGCAAAGGGCTTGGGACAACTACTCATTAGTCACGTTTGGAAATTTTTGGTTTGCGAAAATTATCATTACCGAGATGGAACAGTAGTTCGTTAGTGCCTTCTGGCGCCAATTCACGAACCAACTTGATTTCGACTGTAGGATGAGCAACCGCACACTTTTGCAGTATTTGCGCCCCTACACCCATCAAAATTCAACTGGTTCTGTTTCTCCCCATCAAAATTCAACTGGTTCTGTTTCTCCCCTTGTGGGTCCAAGGTGACTGCTGAACATCGTGTGTCATAGTCTTGTGGGGAGCGTTCTTGTGCCAGTTTTTCAATCTCGATATTCTGCAAGCTGATGGGGTTACAGCAGCAATGCATCCTGCGAGAGTTTGTCCTCCGGACTTCCTGTTTTACAGCGAGGTACCATAGTGTGACCCTACGTTAAGCATAGATAATGATCGCTAGCAGGGTACGCGAGAGTTCTTCGCCTTCTGTACACAGCTTGCAGAAGGGCGAGTGTGCAAAAAGGCACAGGAAGGCCAGCCACGAAACTATGACAAACGATGCTCATCAGTCACGTTGAAGCCCCCCGTTTTGCTACGGTGGATTTGCGTGGTAATAGAAGTGCGCATGGAGGGAGCAGCCGAAGATGCTTGCCGTGTGTTGCGTATGCCCGCTGGGCGAACGCACGAACGCCTTCGCATATGTTGCAGACTCGCCCCAAGTGTAAAGATGCCATTACACCGTTAATGGTGATTTTACCAAGCGCTTCGGCGAATCACGGAAATTTGTCTGAACTCGCACCACACAATGGCAGCTATGTCATTGCGAAAAGAAAGAACTGGAGGAGACTCTGCAGCGACTCTGAAAGGCCATAAAAATTGACAGTATTAAACTGACTGGCCAGAGGACCCACTGCCCGAGTTTGATTTTGAGGTTCTTGTCTGCGAAACATCTTTATGGGCATCTATGTGCCCTCCTCGACTCAGCAGTAGAAAGATTGAGTAAGCGCAGCGAAGACTATACCTGGCGCGTTCATCCATTCGATGGATCTCGCTCTGTCACGCGCAGAGGACCTCATATTTTTGTGTGCACTTGCCTTCCGCGCTGATTATTCTTCCTCCGTTG